TTAAAAGACGAGGTCCGTTGACACTTGGTCAGTTGTGACGCTGTCATCCAATCGGGAGCTTAAACGTCAGTATACTGACATCACTGGTGACGTTCAAACTTCCGCTTAGATGACAGTGTCACAGCTGAAGAAGTGTCAAATGACCTCCTGTTTTAATCGAAATATACTAAGTGTATGCACAACTGCACCCTTTCTAATATTAACCCATCAGACCAATTATTTTCAATATGTCTGAGTGCATTATAGATGAAAAATCACAGCATTTAAAATAATGTACACATAACTCTCAAAGGAAACTTGTCAGAGTTCCCGCTCATTAAATTGTTCGCAATCGTTTTGAAAACCCATGTAAAGTGACGGCTGCGTATTTCTTTGCTCGACAAATCAATGATCAATTAGATCCATGTCACTCTTCAACTGTTGTTGCTTCCACTCCCACAATCGTCTTCCACACCGATTGCACCTAACCCTCCCGGACTGTCGCCGATTGCCAGCGCATCCATCGTCACCTTCACCCCCCCCTCCTGCTGCACCTGAACCGCCCGTAGCTGCTACATACTGCATGCCTGCGCCGTCTCCTGGCGGCTACCGTGCGCTCACGCGGGCGCTTTTGTTTCCACCGCCGCGGGAATCTCCTTTGTAGCGAGCGCACGCATCCCCCGGACGGACGGACGGGTGGACGACGCCACGTCTTCGTCCCCCGGCAGCGGCTGCTCTTTGTCGGCTCGCCGACGTGTGATTAGCGCGTCTTCAATTGGAGGAGCGGCGGCGTTTTTGTGGTGCACTGATTGGTCGGCGCCCTTTGATTGCCGGGCCGGCGGGCGGGCGGGCAGGCGGCCGCTGCGCCGGCGGCCGTGGAGGAGGTGGTGGAGGTGGCCGCCGCCGCGTTGTTGCTGGTGCGTTGACGGCGGTGGCGGCTGTGGTGGCTGTGGCGGTGGCTGTGGCGGTGGCGGTGGCGGTGGCTGTGGCGGTGGTGGAGGCGGTGGCGGCGGTGGCGGCAGTGGTGGCGGCGGCGGCGGCGGCGGCGGCGGCGGTGGCGGCGGCGGCAGCGGAGGTGGAGGAGGAGGAGCAGAGCAGGCGGGAGTTGCCCCAGGGCCCCGTTAGCGCGCATCTGGCGGGAAGGCGTGCGCATGCGCCTGCGCGCAAACGAGCACTCGCCGCATCAGACGATGACGCGTCGTTTCAAGCCCCACGCGGGTTTCCGCGATGTTGGATTCCGCCGAAAATGCCGGAGTCCTTTTGGGTGTTGGCAACTATAAGGGCTCCTTCACACGAATCCGTCATCCGCGGGGTTTTGAATTTTGTGACGCTTCCTGCGTGATACGATTGGAACTCCTAGTAGCATTGAATTTGAAAGGAGAACTCGGGAAGTCAAGATGTCCCTGGTGAGTATACTTCGATTAAAACGTTTAAGTCCGTTGCTCAACTCTGTCGCTGTCGTCCAATCGGGAGCTTGCACGTCACCATTGTGACGACTCGTTAGTGACGTTCAAGTGCCAGATTGTATATCACAGCTGATCAATTGTCAACAGACTTAATGTTTCAATCGAACTATAAAGGAATTAGTATTTCGTGTTTCCGAGTGCCTTAACTGTTTTGGTCGTTGGTCCCATGAATATACAAGCGAGAGGTGGCAATGTTATTCTCCCGCTAATGCTGAGATCCTGCACTGACCTAAAGCGAAAGTTTGCCTTTTCCAGTTATCTCCCCCCAGCGAGAAATCACCTCACCGAGGTGTAGAACAAGCTCTAAGCTCTCTAATTGTGTGGTTTTATAGCCCACATTAGTGTATATAAGAGCTAAAGGGGGAGAAGGGGGTAAAAATGAGGAAGGGAAGATCACGCGTGATCGTGGCCCTACAAAGCTGTATCGAAAGTCCGCCTGACTCAAAACAAAGAAACGTCTGTTTAGAATCCTACCATGTTACAGATTGTTGTCGCTAATTGAGTTCAGCCGTTTTAAGTCCCCATCACATGAGTTCATTCAGAAAATTATTCATTTTTGACGTCTGCGTTGGGGATAAACGATTTGAATCCCATAACACTCCATTAGCTTTGAAATTGAGCGGGAGCCTCGGGTGGCTTATTTTCGATGTCTCCAAGAGAAAGGAGCCACTAGTTAGCTTTCCCCAGATGGTTTGTGTTTGGTCGTCGATAATCAAACCCTTTTATCCCGATTTGACAGGTAGTGTCCGGTCGTGAGATTGAAGAAATCGAAGTGACCTTTTGTGGGTACTGATTGAAGATCCTGGTAGTGCAGTGTGTTTCAATGATAGTCTTCCTACAAGTAATCAAGAATAAGTAAATGAGGATTTTTGAACGTTTCCCTTTTAATGTTATGGACGTTTTAAGGAATATGTCATCCATGAATACAGATGACCTTTTACCTCGCCATGAATATGCATAGTAACACGAGCTATCAAACGAACTATAAGAAGATACTTAGTAACAACACTGATTTAAGTCTGAAAATATTTGTGATGAATAAATTATTCTGATGGATTACAAATGCATATGAGTTCTAGTGTTCTTGTGAAGTATGCCTACTTACTGTCGAAAAAGGAATGTCGCAGTTCTTTTAGAAACCGATTGCGACGCAGACAAATGTCAAGAAATTAAGCAAGATTCAAGATGTCAATTCTTTGCCCTTATTAAAATAATTAGAAATCATGGAAGAGATGAGTTAGTACAAGGTGTTTTAGTATCCTTGTAGCATTCCAGTATTTTGCTGGGTATTTTTATGTTTAGTAACATTTGTGCACGTTCCCTCTTCTAAATTTTAATCTGAAAGTTATTAAACGTTTTAGATAATACTCCGTATGCGACCTTAAGGCGAAACTACTCTCTGCCAAATCCACGACGTTAGAAGGTAAAGACAAATATGGATACAGATATTGCTATTTAAAATCGAACATATCAATTACTTTTTGAATGATGAAACAACGCCCAGTATGAATGCCTGAGTCAAAGCTGCATACGTCCTTGTTTGTGATTGACAAATGAGATTAGTCTCCATTGTTCAGAGAATATTAATCTCCACGGGATGTCCTGTCATTGAGTGGGTGACTTGTAGAGCTCTGTCAGGTTTGAGAAGATTATTAATTGTAATGATATATATTTTACAAATGATCTTGTCTTACTGGTAAATAGAATAAGGAACTTTTTCTAAAATAATTGCTGTTTCGCGAAAAAACAGACCGACTATTGAGTTAAATGTATTAGTAAGTGGTCATCGTTCGATGTATTTATTTTTATTATTGTCGTAGGAGGTCTGGTGGCATTGGAGGGTTTAGTTCCACATGGTGTGTGTTATTTTTTCAGCAGATGGGGCCCCCAGCTATTCAGGACTCCGCTTTTATCAATAATTCATTTTTGCGGATAACAGTCTCCAGTTCTTTGCCATGCCCTTTCTTGAAAAATAACTTAACACCAAAAACAATACTTTAGTTATGCGTATCATTTTCTCAAAATATGGGCCTTCTGCTTAAGAGAATAGCTTTCGATAAAAAAAAATATGCCTTGGGGCTTTTATGGCGGAAACTGCCGGTCCAAGGCAGTCTGGTACTGAGTGGAATTCCTCGAAATATGCCGAAAACTTCGACGAATAACATCGCAAAATAAAAGAACCTGAGTGGCATTTTATAAGCTCTGATAATTTTTTATCAGAAACCAGTTCTCTGGAAATATCATATGAAAGAGAATAAAATTCTGCTCTTCACCATACGTCCAGATTTAGGAAGAAAATTTCCGGAATGTCAAGTCTTCCAGGGAAGTCATTCGATGGACATGAAGTCACTTTTTCGCAGTGAATAAGGCGATGCGGAAAATTCTTCGTCCAAGTGGACCCGAAGAATCCGTGGCTCGAGGACAAGAAGTATCGGTGTACAGCGGGGCCGTGACACACCGCAGAGTGGGTCGAGAAGAGTGGCGAAGTGTGTTTGGAACGATAAATCGAAAACACACCTGCAAGTTTCAGTTGTTGGAATTTGAGACGCGTCAGGGAGATTTCGGAGCTACCCTTTTAAAATCATGAACACATAAATAAATAGTATACGCCAGGTGGAACTAAGCATTTCTTTATCCTTCACATTTTTTTAAAAATCGTTTTATGTGCCCGAGAATGTACATCGCCATGGAATTTCGATTACTGTTCTAAATCTCGTATCACCTTTAGGACGTTATAAAAGAATGTAATAACAGACAGTTGTTAGTAATCAACAAAACATGCAAAAATAAAACCTGCGGCCCATCTTATGTCATTCTAGAGGCGAATTTTCTTAATTACTTACGAGAGAGAGATAGAGAGAGATAGACAGAGAGATAGACAGAGAGATAGACAGAGAGATAGAGAGAGAGAGAGAGAGAGAGAGAGAGAGAGAGAGAGAGAAAAGCAAACAGAAATATAAAGTGAAAGAGACTGATAGAGACGGGAAGAGAGACGGAGAGAGAAAGACGGAAAGAGAAAAACGGAAAGACAGACGAAAGTTTCTGTTTGAATAAATACTACATTGCAAATAATTTTATATATCATGGTAGGATTACATAGGCTTATTTCATTTATCATTCTGCATGCTACACAGGTGTCATGGCATTAATATTGAATTTTCAAATGGTTTTGTTTACGAGTTAAAACGTATACTGATCATATAATAGAATGAATAAGTACGTGCCCAGCAATATTCTGTTTTTTTACGTCAACACCATTAGTTTCCTCGACCGAATTATTCACCCTATCCCAATCCGGATGTTCGCGTCACGCGCGTCGCTTGCACGTATCAATGAACTCTGTCCCGTTGCGTGCGAGGCGCGCCGCCACTCCGGTTTTCCCTTTCGGAAGCTCCGTGGGAGCCACGTGACGCGGTGGAGAAGAGGGGGGCAAGTGCGGGCGCCGCGGTCACCTGACGAAAGCCTCCACACACACACACACACACACACACACACACACACACACACACACACACACACACACACACACACACACACATACACACACACGCGAGGGGGTCCCCGAGGAGAGCAGCTGGCGCGCCGCGGCAGTGGCGGCAACGCCAACCCCGGGTTCCCACGGCCACCGCCGCCACCGCCGCCGCCGCCTCCGCCACCACCGCGCCAACTTGTGCAAGTCGGCTGCACCCCTCCGCCAGCTGATCGCGTGGCGGGAGCGGTCCTTCCGGTTCGAAGGGGCGGTCGGGGGTGGGAGGGCGCCGTTCGCTGCCATGAGAGCTCTTGCAGCCTCCGAAGCGAGGAGGCCTTGGAACGACCGTGGGACCCGTCCGCCCGCCCGGGTATTGTCTCAGGTGGTTGCTTCAAGAGGAGCCAGCGGAGATGTCACGGGGCGGAGTGGGCAGCGGCGCTGGCGTGGAAACGCGGACGCAATCGGACGTCCAGTGCGGGATACGGGATAGCAGAAAGGTTATGGGAACGTGGGTGGTTTCCGGAAACGGGATCGCTCCAAATGACCAATAATTGGTCCAATTTCTTACAATTCACCGTCAGTTTTGAATATTTCCTGTTTTGAATTTTTTTCATTCAGGTCATCTGGTGCAAATACTGGAACAAATTAAGCGAAATCTAGGTAATTTTCGAAATTTTCCGCGGGATCAAAGGATCGCATGTAGACTGTGCATTGTGAACATCCAATGGCCTCTTTACATGAACATATGTAATTCATAATAAGTATCTCTAATGAGTCTAGCGGCGACATACTTGAGGAGATTTGTTGCCCACACATTTCAGAAATTCTCAGATCTCCTTACTATTTCAGAAACCCTAAATACCTTACTAAAGTATTAATAATTTACTTAGGCGTCCGAAGAGAGAAGGGAGACGGTCGTGGCCTCCCTGAAAATTTGGAAAGGGACCCCGTAACTTTATGTAATAAATTATTTTATTAGGTTCTTGTTACGTCCGATCCTTGCTTTTCCCCTTTTACTTCACAATATCAGAAAACGATTATGTGGCATTTGAGAAAGAGGCTCTCCAAACCATGAGGTAATCAATTAAACGGTTTACCACAAAATACTTTGTATTTATAGTATGAGTCAAATGATAAATTCATTTTAGTAATGGTTTATTTATTTACTAGTTAAAGCGCTCTATGTAAATAGTAAATTGGAAGGCAATGGGGGCTAGAAATGTAGTTAATCCCTCTCTTCATTTAGACTGCGCACGCTTGTGTTAATTTGTAAAATTAAAACAAAAAGGTCCTGATTATGAAAACGTGACGTTTTTGCGAACTCAGTTTCTGGCGCCCAAGTTCGTCGGTACCTTAGCGAAGTGCGGTAGAAAAACGGTGCCATAGATCACATTCCCCATTCCGCGCGAGTACTGGGCGAATGGAGGTGAGGCCTCAGCACAGGTGTGCGCTCCGCCGGCCACTCCCACCGCCGC